CAACAGGAGAAGTAGAGAGGTAGAGGAGGCCTGGACAAAGGAAGAATCCTCTGGAGACTTGTGGTGAAGAGAATGAATGAAGTAACTGGCAGAAACTAAAGGTCCTGGTAGAACAAATAGAATCCCAGAATGAGAACACACACCATGCATGTCCCCTAAAGCAAGATAATATTTCCTAAAATATCAAGAAAAATCATTTTTGGCAAATACCTTAAATCAAGTGAGGTAATCCATGTACCAAGGCACTGGGAAAAGTTTAAGGATGCAAAACTCAGAGAGACATGATTCTCTCATGAGGACTTTGTGAAGGATGAATGCTACTCAGTAAGTGATGACTAGGACATGCACTTTTGAGTAACTTATGAGCATCAACATATTTAATCATGGATCTAAACCAAAAACCAAGTTGGGGACAAGGTGGGAGACATAGGCTATCACTGGCATATGCTTGGGTTGAAATAACACTATCAGAAATGGCAGCTAAAGGGGTCAGAGAAGAGGAAAATGATGTCTTTTTCATATTGGTAAAAATTTGAAGTTGAAAATTATAATTTCAACTTCAAAAAGGTTAAAAGGAGACTAATGATGTCAAAATCTTTTTAGTGCAATGTTAAACAGGAAGTATACAACCCTTCCTAAATAACAAACAAAAGTCTCTCTCTTACACACACAGATGTACACACAAACACACAAAGAAAACTACATTGACAAATACAGTAAATACAATCTACTATGTATGGTAAATATAGAGTAAAATATGAGAGAGTTTAGAATATAAACAGGGAAATAAGAATGTTTTTATGAATCTATGTCTTTATCCATGAAAACTAATCATAAAATGAAAGCTTAAAACATTGCACATAAAAAATCCACTAGCCCAGAGTGATAGTCACAAAAATTTAATTAAAGTGATTTAAAACATAAACATTTTAGCTTTAATAGACTAAAATTAATTTTTGATGCAAGTTAAAATTTGAGCAGAGAATATTCTTTTGTATGACAGAATGCCAGCAAAAGCAAGTTTATAGTAAAATTTTAAGAAAGTCAATTTCCAACATAAAAACATAAATATAAATAACTGACACAGGCAGGGGTGATTAATTGATGGTAAAATGCTCAGAGGAAGATTGCTGGAACACAGGATATTAATACTTTTTCAAACCACTTGCCAAATTAATTATAAATAAGATGTCATTACAAGTGACAGAGCTCCTAGACTCCTCCTTAACCAACTGACCATCCTAGTATCACTATAATAGGGATGGATACACTGGACCTTCTCTGCCCACAAATGGGCTGAAGTAGGAAGCTCACAGCATGACTCTGCAGTGTTCCTGGCCAAATGTTTAGGCTGAATTTAATCATGAGGACATCTTCAGACTTCAAAATGAAGAACTTTGAGTCAGACAGCTGACCTGTCCTTTACAAACAAGTCCATGTCAGCACCATCAGTGACAACAACAAAAAGAGGAAGAGCTATTTGGGGTTCAAAATGACTAAAAAGCATAAGCTACATAGTCTTTTTATTTATTTTGAATCCAAAACATCTCTTTTCCTTTTTGTTGTGTTCTTGGTGGTGACATGGGCTGTTTGAAGGAGACAGGTCAGTTGTCCTGTTCAATGTTCTGCGTTCTACAGTTGTCTGAGGATTACCTCCTGTGAAATTCAGGCTAAACATTTTCAGCAAGAACATGGCATTGTTCATACTCTACCCTGGCAGAGTCCTGGGTGGCATGCTGTCTCCTGCCAGTGGCTCCAGACTTCTGTTCTCTACAGGAAGGGAATTGAGAGAAGCGGGGCTAAGGTCTGTCAATGCTGTTTGTCTATCTGGGAATTGGTCTCCCTAGGTATTGATCACAATTGGACTAGGATGGACTGTGGCTTCTCAAATCAAAGAAGTCTAGTTGGTTGAAATCATCAAGAGCATTCTGTGGTCTAAAATTCAATCCTCACTGAAAGATCCCTGCAGTGTCATTGTATTTGGACTTCAACTTGCTTTGCTGTTTTAGTTTTTTCTCATAAAGTGGAAAAGCGACTTTTTTTGTGACATCCTTTCATTCTTTGCATCTTTCCAGCAGTATTTGGTACCTGTGGGGGAGAGAGATAAATCAAATTAGCATTTTCATCAGGTCCTTTCGAAGGCTGAGTCTGGAGGGATTGCTAAGTGGTGCTATCCCAGTGGCAAACTGATCTCCTGCTGGGTACTTGAGATGAAGGTGAGGGTTGGGCTGACTGGAAAGGAAAGCACCATCCACAAGTAAGAAGAAAATGCCCCTGAATTTCCCTGATCTTCCAGTTAGTCTAGGGTGCAGGATATAGGGAACCCTCCTATGCCCAACCAGCAGCTGGGAACATCAGCCCCTTTCCTCCTGATACCCTCTGTTTGCAGCAGAGTGATGGCTTTTCTTCTCAGTGAGGATGTCTCAGCATCAATCATGCATGCTCAGACACAGAGGGCTGCAGAAGGAGAGGACACTCTTCAGAGAAACCCACCCCCTTACAACTCCATGTCCCAGTCTTCTAGGGAGGAGCGGGAGGGCCATGGGAAGAACTCTAGATATAAGAAGCAGCAGGAACATCAGACAACATCCACGTCCATTTCCACCTTTTAAAACAGAAGGTAAGATTGAACTAAGGCAACATGACTTGCTATTGACAGCCCAGGAAATAGTACACATGAACTAAGGCCCTTTCAGTCAGGATTGGAGGAAGCTAGAGGAAAGGCTCCAATCTGGAGGTCTCAACAGTCGTAATAGGCTGTTGGATCACCTTGGCTGGGACAGGAATAAGGTTTTTACAAAGAAATATGATGTCAGTGGTGCTTGTTTGGTTGGTTAAACATTTTTTTAAAAGGAAAAAACAAATATTATAAGTATTCTTTGAAAGGGGTTCAGGAAAGAAAAAAAAAAGATACTCATAATGGAGTTAGCAAAGAGAGAGCAGGGAGTGTAATTATGGCCTTACTTATTTTCCCTATTGCCTGGAAGTTGATTCCACACCTGCTTACACCTTAAGGCATCTAATCTTCTCAATATCTAGATCAACAAAACTCTGAAGTACAAAATAAAAGGGATTAGTTTGTGTTTTACTATACTCTCCCCTCCTACTTATTATTTTTCTTAAGTATATTTTGGGAAAGTTTACCGTTTAATATTTAATGTCAGTGTCAATAGTGGCATAAAGAAGTATTCATATACAATATCTTGTGGAATTTCAGTCTTGATTATTATTGTATTCTCTTCAGGAGAGTGAGACCAGTAAGTTCTCTTTTGGGGCTTTGCAGAAGGACAGTAACTGATCAAAAGTGAAACGTTCACATTGCAGTGCTGAGCCAATTAGTGGGCTGTAAAATCTGTGTAGTTAAATGTAAACTGAAAGTTTTATTTTAAACTGCCAAAGAATATACTAAATTCCATTACATGTAATATGGGAAGTATTATCTCTGTACATTAGGCATTAATACAATGACTATTTCTCACTTTATCTTGTATTCAAAATTGAGGAAGTGTACTTCAAACAGAGCCTAAAGGTCTAATCTCTTAATTTTCTTGTTTTTCTGCTTAATTTTTTCTATGCTACGCAAACAGTGCTGTTGAGAGGGGAATATAGGTCCCATCAAAGGCTGATGGACGCGCAGCCTTTGGATTAGCTACACATATGGGGCACTTCCATGTTGGTAACCTGAGGTCAAGGAAGACCAGTGGTCCTTCTTCTCTTTTGCCACATATTAGAATCACATGGGAGCATTTTAAAACTACAGACACCCAAACCACACTCTACGTCACGAAAGTGAGAACCTCAAGGTGTGAGTTCAAGGCATTCGTCTTAATTGAAATCTCACCAGGTGTTTATTACATGGCAGCAGGATATAAAGATACTAAATGGAACAACCCCATTTCCATCGGGTTCTTTCCTTTCCCATTTATCTCATAATTGGCTTTGTTCCCAGTGGTTCCAAGGATTTTGGTGTTCTCTCTGACAACTTCAGTGAAACCTCTCTCTTATCAGTTGGGCTGGGCCAAAGCAAAGATCGTCCTGTGGACAGATTCTTGTCTGTCATCTTGTGTATGCATAAAGCTGGTCCTGGAGTCACTTTTCTCAAAGATAATTTAGAAAGCGCTATCTCATGTAAACTGCTCTCAAGATTCTTCTGAGTTGCATTTTAGATCCTGAACTGGACTTGTAGAAGTGGAAATGAGAATAAAAAGGAGAGAGGTTAGAATGATGTACCTCATGATGTATGCAGTTTTGAAGTCCTGTCCTCTGCATGTACTTTTGGAGTGATGTCACTTTAGACAATCATAAATTTCCTCCAGTTAATGTCAGCTCAAATGAGTCCATGAGGTGAGAACACTGAGTCCCTGTCAACTCCATCGACATTGTCACAAGGCTACACATCTGGGGCTGAAGACTAACCTGATTCCAGGCTAGTAGGGAACTCCCACCTGGTTCTAGTTTAGTTTTCTAAGTGGGGCTCTTTGTGCTCAGTTTTCACATTTCTCATTCACCCAAACAAGAGATGATTAAGGGTTGAATAAGTTGAGTTGCTCAAAATCCAACTCAAGAGAAAAACCTATGTGTAAATGATGTATTAAAGCAATGCTCCCTGCAGAAAGAGGCAATGGAGTTGGAGATGCAGGGAGGAAAGGTAAATTTCCCAAGAGCATGTGCAATTTCGGCAAAAAACCCTGTGTTCAGCAGCTTAAACTATGCAGTTGGATGAGAACAAGGAGACCTGGCAATCCTGTGGCCATGAGAGGCACTCTCAAGACAGCAGAAGGAGAAGGAATAGAACAGAGTTCAGAGAGCAAAGAGGAGATGGGGACAGAAAGGGCATGGCAGGGTGGGAGCCCATTGGACACAGAGGTAAGACCAGACAGAGGTAATGGCAGATACTGGAGACAACAAATGGAAGAGAAAAAATAGTGGGAGAATAAGCTGCCACCATAGACAGAGAGAAATAAGAAGTGAGTGCAGTTAAGATTCACAGATGTGATTACCTCTGCACCCTAAACGTGAAAGCCAGGGAATCCACTTGCTGAATGGGAGTTTTCTTTTAATACTCTTTGGTTTTAGGACACTTGAGTGGTCAATATGGCCAATGACTTGACGTTCTTGTGTGTTGTCCACTGAGCCTTCAAGTGCATCGTCTTCCAGCTGCAGAGGGTTCTTCATCCCAGCGGAGGGCTCTAAAACCAGCTCTGAAAATAAAACGACAGCCAATGGCATCCACTGGCACCCATGATCTTATTGTGACTTTCTCTCCCACCCAAAGGACATCAAATCAGGAATGTGGCCTTGGACAAGAACGTCCAAAGTGTGAGCGGAAGTCAATGGAATCATTTTAATATTTTCTTTTTTGTTGATCTTTTTTTTACGTTACTCAGTAATGACATGTATGTCAGGAGGCAAAGGCACTCTCAATCCCCCAAAATATTCAAGAAACACAGGATTAAGAAACACAAATAGCTTTCTGGTAAATAAGGCAAAAGCAAGGAAATCACACGGTGTGTAGGCTGGGCTTTGGTGAGGGAAGAGGTTATAAAAATGAAAGTTAAATCAGAGCTGAGTTCAAACAGGTGATGGGGATGGAAGGGACCGGCAGGGTGGCAGCCCATGAGACACAGAGGTGAGACCAGACAGAGGTTACAGCAGCTGATGAGAGAAAAGAACCGGGGAAGCCTGAACCTGGAGAATTTACAAAACTTGTACCATTGTATGATCTATTACATATACATATACACCCTATATAGCACACACACCAAATACACATAATCTATATGACAAATGACGTCAATGAATATATCTGTATGTATTAATCTAATGAAGAAATATTACATAGGGATTTGGAAGATATTAAATGTAATGTTATAATGACTATTCTGGTCCATTGAATTGGAAAAAAAAAAACAAAAAACATGAGAAGAACGAGAAAGAAAATGTGTGGAGAGAAACAAATGACCCGTTAGACAGCAGGAGAAATCACCAGCTGAACAAAAATATGAATGAGACAAAAGGGGTTCACTCTGTCCTCTTACCTGGAGCCTGGTTCATGCTCTGCACTCCAGGGAACCTGAGCAAGAGACAGTGTGTCTGAGCCACTGGGGTGAGTCTTGGCTCGGGGTGTGAGAATCCACAGAAAAGCAAAGGAGATTCTGGTGGGAAGAAATCAGTTTAAATAAGTTATCAAGGCACGTATCAGGGACTGCGCATCTCCCGATACCCACTGAGCGCCTTCCGTGTGTCCTCTCCATGGACCCAGATGGTGTTATCTCACGTGTCCCTCCTTCCTCCTGAGGACAGGGGTCCCCTCATTCCTCAGCCGAGGGCATCACCTGACAGATGAGCACCAGGCAGTCCCAGGAGCTCCAGGAGGAGATTGATTAGGACAGAGAATGAAGATGAACATGACCCAGGGTTTTAAGGAAATCTGAGCAGAACTAGATCCCTGTGAGATGGAAACTGAGCACATGGCTGTGAACATGAGTGGAGATGATGAACTAAATGGAGTTTCATAAAAGACACTGATATGAACACTTTCCATGTGAAAGTTGCCCATTGTTTTTAAAAAGAGCAGAAAAGAAGAAGGAGCTGGACATGTCATGAGACTGACTTGTGGGCCCAGGATTTGCACTGTTACTGAATGTACCTCATAGGTTGTTACTGAAAGTTCCTGATAGTGGAAATTGGCTTCATGAGGGATGCGGAAGGAGAGGAAGAAAACTGGCAGAGGAGTGTGTGTGAGAAAGGAAAGGAAGGGGGGTCTGTAGAAAACAGAGAGCTTCACAATTGCTCTACCTCAGAGAAGACATAGTCTGTGAAGTCACTTTCTAAATGTAAATTTGGCAGAAGACAAATGGATTAGATAACAGCTATTTATAGGTTTATTGAGCAATTGTTATTGATCAGACCCATTGGAAATTATAATAATTAATACTCTCAACAATGATGACAGGTAGATATTATTTCTTAGGTAGCTGCAATAAGGAAACAGATATTTATACCCCGAAAAGACAAAATCTTTGGCCAAAGTGAACAACCAGAAACAGGCAAACCCAGGACCTGAGAGTAGATTTTGTCCTAAGCCCCAGGCTCTTGCTCACCTCACTGGGTTGGAGCATCATGGATTTCAACTTGACCCTGAGTGGGCACGGAGAGGCCCCTTTCTCTCCTCCACCCACAGCACCGCGACCACCAACACCTGGACTAGACCTTCTTATTCCCCTTTCCTTCCCTACCTTGAAAGGGACATTGGGTCCCAGGATCAGCATTGGCTGTGAAGCTGCAGGTGGTGGAGGAAAGGCCCTGCCTGGCTAAGCCATTCCCGAAGTCGATCCCTTGATCCAGCTGTAGTTGCAGACAATTGGTCATTCGGGTGCTTGGCTCCAGCTGTGTCTGTGAAGCCTGCACCTCTGCCAAGTGGTAGCTCCAGTCTCCACTGCAAGTCCCCTGGGGACAGGCCTCCTGGGTGGGAGCTGAAAGGAGAAGGGGCTTCAGTAGGAACAATCTCAGTTTTCCCTTTGTGAAGCACACCCAGGACACCCATTGCTGCTGTCCCTGCCTCTCAGTAAAGCCACCCAGTGACCCAGGCCACACAGACACATATCACGTCAATGTAGGTGATGTCACCTTTCCTTTCTGTGCCTGGGGATGCTGACATGGGCTGGAGTTTCAGGGCTGGGGTGTCTCTGAAGTGAAAAACCCCTTCTTCAGCCCAGAGAACGTTGGATTGGCTAACAACGTCATGATGCTTAGTCTGTCATTATTAATCTCTTTCCTGTGCCAAGAAGGAAAGTTCTAGAGAGCCCTCAGAGCATAGGAGAAGAGGAGCTATTCTCCATAACACAGGTGTATAAGAACAGGGCAACAGTTAGAGCCATGAGGCTTTGAGAAAGAACCATGAGGAAAACCAAACACTAAGTGAGGCAAACTTTTCAGGGATCTGGGACGTTTTGAATTTGCCATTGCCTATAATGGTTTAACCCCCTGCCCACAAATCTCCATCCTATTGCCATATAGTGGGTGTCAGCAACATTAGGCAATGTAGTAGATGGACCACTTCCTTGGCGGAAATTCAGAAGCCATAAGAGCTACAGATCAGCACATGCAGTTCCTTAGAAGGTAACACAGGGCACAGTCCTCACATTACCCACTCCTCCAGTGGGGTTCAGGCAGACAAATTATTTCTATTTCCACAGGGAAAGGACTGCACATTCTCAGAGTGGACTAAGGAAAGTCTCCCAATGACCTCACGCCAGTCCATGTCAGGCTCAGGACAGGGACAGCACCCACAGGGCCGGCACCTACAGGGCCGGATCCACGTTGCTGAAGGGCTCCTCTCTCTCCTCGCCTCTCCACATCCTCATTCTCTCCAAGGTTTTCTAAGTTTTTTAAAAAATGTCTTCCATGTGTCTGTTCTCTTTCATCTCCCTGAGAGCACAGTGTATCAGACTCATCACTGATGCCTGGTTTCCTACACGCTCCGTCTCTGCTTTCTCTGATTTTGCCATCTCCACTCTAGGAATTGTCTCAGCAGTTTTATCACCCAGAAGCCCTGTTCTTCCCATGTTCCCACTCTGCATCTGAAAACTTTCTCTCCACTGCCCACTGGGTGACTGTCCCCCTCACCCTGCCTCTGTGCTACTTCTAACATCTGCCCCACATTCCTATCCAGCATCGCCTCAAACAGATTCTCCCTGGAGTCATGCTGACACCTCCGTGGCCCACCCTGCACCAGGTGCCATCCAGCTTTGTGGTCTTTGTCCAGGAACCATTCTGTCAGCATCCCTAGTTGCTCAGCGCACACTTTACTGATGATTAACCCTCAGCCACTTAGGACACTCTTACATTTTAAGATACCTTATATTGAGCAAATGAGGAAAACATCCTGAAACAACAAATTTGGCTGATGAAGCCTGGGCAAACACATCGCTCCCTCTCTGAGTCTCTGCACTTGCTATTTCAAATCAAGCTCTGTGAGTGTCTTTGATTCTCACTACTTAATTTTCTCACGTCATTTTATCCGTCTTTTCTAGACTACTGAGTCTTATTAAACTTATACTGTGAATATTTGCATTTTCAGATGTAAAAGGAAAAGTTTTTTTCAAACTTCTGAAGTACTGTGGCATTGTTAATTGGGCGGGTTGGGAAAGCCTGTGATAAAAGATCACGTGATAATTTAGGTTGTATTCTTTCTAAATCTACCAAGCTTTTCTCTGCAGGGAGAGGATGGGCAGAGCAGATGCACTTTGACACGGCTGCTGGGGTCAGGGCTATGCACTATACACACTATTCACACATTATTATTGTGAAGCCACACACAGGAAGCATCCTTGCGTAATTTGAAGGGCATATTCATTCATCTCGGACCGTTTGCCTAGATGAATGTGGCCTCTCCTGGCCCAGGTCAGCTGATGCCCTGGCAGGGCTGGCCCACATCACAGGCATCTCACTTCTGAGACATGTGTCGGGGCAATTCCCTTTCTTATTGTAGGAGCCACATCCTGGCTGGGGTGTTCATGAGATGCAGCTCCACAGATTTACCGGGATCCAAGCATGGCCAAGTTGAGAGTCGTAACCCTGGGGGCAGGGGGTGGGGAGAGACTAGGACCTTTCATCCCCTGAGTGCTTTTCCAGGGGAGAGCCTGTGGGAGCTGTAGGTCCCCCTGGAGGAACCGGAGGAGCCACTGATTCTGCTCACGGACAAAGTGCACAGGGGTAATCCTTCTTGAGAAGTCTGTGCCAGGGGCTACAGGAGTTCTTTATCCTAGACCAGCAACTTTTCTGTTTCAACTTGACTTTATTTCAAAATAATTTCTACAAAAGGAAAAGGGCGAGCACCCATAGTGGCTCAGTACCTGGCAGGTCCCCACACAAAGAAATGACAGAAACTGGGCCATGGAGTCAGGCAGACAAGGGGCATATATTCCCACCATGACTAATTGGGGCATCCTGGGCAAGTGCAGGAAACTTTCCAGAGCCCCGGCGTCCTCAGCTCTAACAGGGCAATGCCACTGCCCACTTGGGAGCGTTTCTTGAGCCCTCAATGTTTCATAGCAGGATGGAGCTTGTTTGGCAAGGGCCAGGGCATACAGCAGATGCAAGGCCAATGTGTATTTTATTTGTTTCATGAATTACTGTGATCCTAGAAAAGTATTAGCTTTCTCAAATTCAGGGAGAAATACAAAATGGGAAAGGGGATGGTCCCAGCAGGAAAGGCACTCACTGACCAAAACAGAATAGAGGCCAACGTTGTTGTTGTTAGTTTCTTTCTTTGTGTGTGTGTGAGACACAGAGTCTCACTTTGTTGCTCAGGCTGGAGAGCAGTGGTGCAATCATGGCTCACTGCAGCCTCAATTTCCCGGGCTCAGGTGATCCTTCCATCTCAGCCTCCCAAGTAGCTGGGACTACAGGTGTTTGTCACCAGGCCCTGCTAACTTTTCATAGAGATATGTTTTATGATGTTGCCCACGCTGGTCTCAAACTCTTGAGCTCAAGCAATCTACCTGCCTCGGCCTCCCAAAGTGCTGGAATTACAGGCATGAGCCGTCGCACCTGGCATTGTTGCTAATTTTATTACAACATAATCAGTTATGCTGGGGTACATCTCAGAGTTACTTGCTCTTCCTAGAAAATAAGTTGATGGATGAAACTCCCAAAAATCCACATGAAACTCCCAGTATGGAATTAAACACAATGAGCAAGAAGAAATGAAAATTGAAAGTTTTCTCTACATATCCATGAAGCTGCTACACCAAGAGGCCCTTGCTCAGAGGAAGGGTTTTCTGGACATCATGGGGACAGGAACCACTCTGCTTGGTTCATCGCTTAGGCCAGTAGCTCATAAGGGACACTAGATCTCAATGTTTTTCATGAGAATATAGCACTGAGACCAAATCTTGATTGAAATGAGAAACCCATACATAGAAAAAAACACTGTAGCTCTGCAGAGGATGCAAGCCTTGCCGTGCATAAAGGAAGGGATGCTAGACTGCATAGTGAGGGAAGAGGCAGCAGAGGAAGTAGAGCGACAGTTCCCTACCTTTTGGGCACCAGGGTCTGGTTTCATGGAAGATAATATTTCAAGGACAAGGGTAGTGGGGATGGACTGGGATGATTCAAGCACATTACATTTTTTGTGCACTTTATTTCTGTAATTATTACACTGCAATATCTAATGAAATAATTATACAACTCACCAAAATGTGGAGTCAGTGGGAGCCCTAAGCTTGTTGTCTTGCAACTAGATGTTCCCTTCTGGGGGTGACAGTCACTGGGAGACAGTGACAGATCATCAGGCATTAGATTCTCCTGAGGAGTGCACAGCCTAGACCCCTCGCATGCACAATTCACAATAGGGTCCGAGCTCCTGTGAGAATCTAATGCCACTGCTGATCTGACAGGAGGTGGAATTCATGCAGTAATGCTCTCCCACTGCTCACCTCCTGCTGTGCGGCTTATTTCCTAACACGTCATGGACCCACAAGGGTCCATGGATGGCCCCTGGGTTGGGGATCTGTGATGAAGGGAATCCAGTATGAGACACAGGAATCATAAAACAGGCCTCCAGATAATTGTGCAAAACTTCCTGCATGTGTGGATGGTCAGAGAAGAGATAAGGGCACTGTTCAAGGCATGTCGTTAGCAACATAATTTCAGAAAGAAGAGATGCCCTATCTTAAAGGAGAAGGTTTGTTATGCAAATATGTCCAGATGAGCTACTGTGGACAAGAACTTGCTAAAAGCCCTAACCCCTTTCGAGTTTTTATGCTCACAGCCTGCTCTTGCAAGGAGAAGCCAGGTGACAGAGGAGTCACTTGGGACAGCAGTACAGGAAGGTTCACCCACTGGATGTATGCGATTGAAACTGAATCCCAGAGCCAGATTCAAAGCAGGCTCAGTGTAGATGGCCTGCCTGCATTGACGGCCTGGCTCAGCTACACAAGTTGCAGAAACAAAACATATGGAGGCTGCCTGGGAAGACACCGGAGCTTTGCGATCTTCAGGCTGGAGTACTCACAGGCTACATCCAGAGCAGAGCATGCGAGCTGATCATCCAGTGAGGACAAGGTGCTGCTATAAGGCTGGTGGCAGTCAGACAGGTCATGGTGAACTGAAGGAGTCAAGTAAATTTCATCCAAGGAGTCCTCTGGGACTTCCTGCTCCTTTACCTCTGGCAGCTCCCAGCTCAGCCTGGAGGAAAGAAGATAGGAGATAAACACTGGAGAGAAGCAAAACCACTGTGCCCAGCTGGTTCTACAGGGAGGACCACAGGAGGGGCCAGAGGAAGCCAAGTACAGTCCCCTCAGAAAGACGTAACCATCCTTCCCTGTCTCAAGCAGGAGACAGAGCGGCAGGTGCTCAGTGAACTGGGCAGACAATGAGCTGAGGAGGAAGGAGATGGAGGGATCCCTGTGGGAAACTGCCAGGACACAGTGCATTCAGCACTTCTGCATACATTTTGTTGACATTAGCATCAGAGGCCAATTGACTACAGGTTCTTGAATCTTCACAGAAAGAGTTCCTGTATCCTCCACATCACTTGTTCTCAAAACTGTGAGCAGGATGTGAGTTATTTTCATTCATTCTCCTGCTATTAAATACTTGTAAACATGGTGATAATGCCAAAGAGGCAGACATCAGGTGAGGTCAGGAAATCCCTGAGTTTGGTCAGTTCACCTGGCTCAACTGATTGTCCGTTCCTATGCTTGAGAGGGAATTTGTGGATGAATGAATGAGACAGTTCTATTCATCACTTCCTGTCCTACTTTCCCCTGGATCCCTGGTCTCCTGGTGTCACTACTGAGCTAACAGCCCACAAATCCACAGTTACCTGGGGGGCATTGGTACTTTTCCCTCCTCTTCCTCATGATCATTTTGATTTCCTGTAAAGAAATTTAGGAGAGCAAGTCACAGTAAGCAAATCACACTTCAACAAGACCAAATCCGTGTCCAGACATAGCACAAGGACATAAATATCCTCAGTGTAAGAATGTGATATTCTGACAGGAAGGTTCTAATGTGCTCTAGATGAAGTCTTGTCAGAAGTAGATGAGCCTGCTTTCCAGACCCATGGAACAGAATCTCCCTCATCTAAAATCATAATCCCATATTTTCTGACCTAAGTCTGTGCAAACAATTAAACAAAAATTTTTTCCCATGATCTTCAAAAATTGTCCTAATTACTCTCCAGAAGTATTGCTGCAATACTGATTTATTTTATCATATATCCTGGTCAATGAATTGTAAGAGAAATTTTATTTATATACCTCCTGATATCAAGGTGACTGCATAGCTAGGACAACCTGACACAAAGGAGACCAAGACTGAGGCCGAGAAGAGTGAAATCAGGGAAACAACATCTCCAAATACATAGGCAAGGCTGTCAGTGGCCGTGGACAAGCATAGAAACTCCATGGACATTGTGCAGGGACACAAATTACATCATTACAGGGGACGAGAGACATAGGAACTGAGCTAGGAGGCCTGACAGATACCTCCTGTACAACTCCTGTACACAGGTGGCTATGAATTAGTCACACCTACTTGTGGTCCAGTAACCTGATATTGGCGCCAGGGAGAAGTGGAAAGCCATCAGACCCACTGATATCTGTATTAACCTTCCAACCTAGTCCTCCCTCCCTCCCATCCTTCCTTCCTTTCTTTTTTTTTTTTTTTTTTTGAGACAAGGTTTCTCTCTGTCACCCAGGGTGGAGTGCAGTGGTGTGGTCATGACTCACTGCAGTTTCAACTTCCTGTGCTCAGATGATTCTCCTACCTCAGTCTTCTGAATAGTTGGGACTACGGGTGTGCACCACCATGCCTGGGTAATTTTTTATATTCTTTGTAAAGATGGATTTTACCACATTTCCCAAGCTGGTCTTGAACTCCCAAACTCAAGTAATCCACCCACCTGGACCTCCCAAAGTGCTGAAATTACAGATGTGAGGCACTGCCCCCAGCTTCATCCTAGTTTCTGATTCAAACCAAGTGTATGTATACAGCCCATCCTCAGAATTGATCTTCTTCAGTCTAGACAGAGGTACGAGGGATAAAGAATATACAGGCTACCTGGGAGAATGTTTGGAGGTTCCTCCCCTTCATCCTGAGAGCATTCGCTGTCTACGGCCAGAGCAGAGTCGACTTTGTTTCCCTCAAATGTGACTTTGGCGCTCCTGTGAGGCTGGTTGCAGTCAGAAGTGCTGTAGCTGTTTGAACAAATGACAGCACATTCCTCCCGTAAGTCCTGAGGGAATTCCTTTTCCTCAGCCTTCTGCACCTCCCTGATGAGCCAGGTAGGATAGAGATGACAAAGATTAAACCAAGAGGGACTGGACCCCAGGAATTCCCAGCTGGTTTTGAGAGGGGGCATAAGGTAGTGGTCCCAGAAAGCAAAGGGGAGGTTCCGTTTAAGAGGGAACAGACAATTCTCCTCTCTCTGCAACAGAGCATGGCTGCCATGGGAACCAGAGAGGAAGAGAGCAGCGGGTGTTTACTGCACTGGACAGATAGGAGCTGAGGAAGACAGAGACTCAGCTGCTTCTGTATGGTACAGTCTTGACAGCACACACACAGAACCAAAGACAGCTGCCACATCATGTGTGTTAAGCTGGATTGCGTTTAACATACTGTGGCCAAGGGAATACAGGTGTCCGAGCCATGGTAGACTCCAGAGATGGTGTGCCTTCTAGATTTTTTTTTTAAATTTAACATTGTGATGTGAAATGTAAACATTTTCTAGGTTTTTTTCTTGGTGTTTAGCTTTGCTAGGTGTTCCTAATTCCTCTGCTGGTTGCCTCCTTGCTATTTCTCTTCCCTAACAAGAGTCTAAAGACAACCATGTAGAAAGTGGCTTTGAATCTCCTCCTGGCTTTCACTACAGGGGAGGACAGGTCTCCTTTGTGTGTGCAGAAAGTCCCTAAGGCTAGTGAGTTCGTCTAGGGTCATGCTTACAGGTACCATGAAGACAATGGACAAGCATGTTAACAGCACTATTTCCTTGTTGGTTAATTCATGAAATCAGTGCACTCTGCAGCTGTCTGTATCCTGCATCTGGAATATGTGACTACCTTCAACTACCTGTGTTCTTTCTGAGACCTTTTCCATATTTAACCACCCATTACCCACTCCTGACTATTCAGTGTTACCTGGGAGCAGGTGATTCCTGTATGTTCTCAGTCTCCTCATCTGTAACATCTTCATCTTCATCTTCATCTTCATCATTTTCTGTAAAAACAGAAGTGTCCATTCAGAAATTTCCCACTTTACCCACTGGAAGCACAGTTAACCCTATGTGCACTGAGACATGAATATCCATGTATGGGTCTGCATTGTGCTGAAAGCTCTCATGTTTTATCTTCAACAAAATGCCCTGGCATGTTCTCCTGATCCATGAGGGAATGAGTTTCTGGTCTGGAGGGTCACCATCAAATTGTGGCCAAATACTGAAAAGACTCCTTGTTCCCCATATTACTAGAGGCTTTCCCAGCCTCTCTCTAAGCTTCAGCAGCTATCTCCCCAATCCTGCCACAGTTCTGATACCCAGGCACAGGCTCTGTGTCCCGTCACAGCTTGCATTAAAACCTGCGTCTTTCTCTTAGGACAGGACAAACAAACTTGTTCCATCATACTCCATACATCGGAGACTTCATGGACCCTCCAAGAGACCTCCACTGTGCTATCCAGGGATACCCTCTCCATGGGGAGTGCTCCAGTCTAGATCACTTCCTACTACCAAATGCCCCCACATGAAGTGCCTTCTCCAACACCAGAAGGGACTTTATCTCATTGCGAAATATAGTCATAAGTGTTCCCACATTTGAATGCAAGAGACAGTTTGCCTGCCTTTACAGATTTAGAGACAGGAACTCAGGAAGGATGAATTAATCTGTTCCTCACAGTTGCTAAAGACATTGCTGAAGATAGAGCCTGGGAACCTTCAGTCTTAGTCCAGGGCTCTTTTTACTCTAACAAGCTGCCTCCTGTCACAGCCTCCTTCCTGTCCTTTAAAACTGAACAGATGCTATCTTTTGCCTCAAAGACCATGTTCCAGCAAGAAATGAAGAGACATAAATGGTGTTGGGAAAACTGGCTAGTCAAGTGCAGAAAGCAGAAACTGGATTCCTTCCTGACACCTTACACAAAAATTAACACCAGATGGATTAAAGGCTTAAACATAAGACCTAACACCATAAAAACCCTAGAAGAAAATCTAGGCAAAACCATTCAGGACATAGGCGTAGACAAGGACTTCATGACCAAAACACCAAAAGCATTAGCAAAAAAAGCCAAAATAGACAAATGGGACCTAAACAAACTCAACAGCTTGTGCACGGCAAAAGAAACAGTCGTTAGAGTGAATCGGCAACCAACAGAATGTGAAAAAATTTTTGCAGTTTACCCATCTGACAAAGGGCTGATATCCAGAATTTACAAAGAACTAAAACAGATTTACAAGAAAAAAACAAAAAAGTCCATTCAAAAGTGGGTGAAGGATATGAACAGACACTTTACAAAAGAAAACATACATGAAGCCAACAAACATATGAAAAAAATGCTCATTATCACTGGTCATTAGAGAAATGCAAATCAAAACTACATTGAGATACCATCTCACACCAGTTAGAATGACGATCATTAAAAAATCTAGAGACAACAGATGCTGGAGAGGATGTGGAGAAATAGGAACACTTTTACACTGTTGGTGGGAGTGTAAATTAGTTCAACCATTGTGGAAGACAGTGTGGCGATTCCTTAAGGACCTAGAAATATAAATTCCATTTGACCCAGCAATCCCATTACTGGGTATATATCCGAAGGATTATAAATCTTTCTACTATAAGGACACATGGACATGAATGTCCATTGCAGCACTGTTTACAATAACAAAGACCTGGAACCAACCCAAATGCCCATCGATGATAGACTGGACAGGGAAAACGTGGTACATATACACCATGGAATATTATGCAGCCATCAAAAACGATGAGTTTGTGTCCTTTGTAGGGACATGGATGAACCTGGAAACCATCATTCTCAGCAAACTGACACAAAAGCAGAAAATCAAACACCGCATGTTCTCACTCATAGGCCGGTGTTGAACAATGAGAACACATGGACACAGGGAGGGGAGCACTACACACTGGGGTCTGTTGGGGGGGAATAGGGGAGGGACAGCGGGGGGTGGGGAATTGGGGAGAGATAGCATGGGGAGAAATGCCAGATATAGGTGAAGGGGAGGAAGGCAGCAAATCACACTGCCATGTGTGTACCTATGCAACAATCTTGCATGTTCTTCACATGTACCCCAAAACCTAAAATGCAATTAAAAAAAAGACAAAAAAACAAAAAACATACAAACAAACAAAAAAGAAATGAAGAGACATTTGCAATACTGTGACCTCCAACCCCATGAGTTTTCCATCTCTGTTTTTGCCTGGGAAGTCCTGGTCATGTCATGGCTACAAATTTTCAGTGGAAAGAAACATTACCGATAAAATTGTCATTGTGGAGGTGTGGAGGCCTGGGGACTTTGATAAACCTGGGTGTGTGTGTCATCAGGACCTGTGTCCACCTTACCTGGGCTGAGCTTGTTGACAAGACGCTCTGCCAGCCTGCACCCCTCAGCCAGCTGCTCTCGGAGGTCCTGACCCTGGGACTTGTTAGGGTCATCAGGAGTGAGGAGGGCCTTGAAATGCTTATTCAGTGACCGGGAGGCATCTCTCCTTTCCCGTAACTTCTCCCGTAACTGGGTCAGCTCTTTTGCCTGAGAGTGAACCAGGGCTTTATATTGCCTACGGTGAGATAGCAGAGAATATTTAATAACGGAAAGGGCTGAGCGATCAGTTCTAATACTGCAACGGAGGTTTATGTGAGAATGTCCTCAAGGAGCCCTCCAAGCAGAAGGTCACAACATGTTTGGGGAAATGCCTGTGGCCAAGAGAAATTATATATATACATATATATAATATATATATATATGTGTATATATATATATATATATATATATATATACATTTTTTTTAGGCAGGGCGCAATGGCTCACGTCTGTAATCCCAGCACTTTGGGAGGCTGAGGTGGGCAGATTAACTGATGACAGGAGTTCAAACCCAGCCTGACCAACACGGTGAAACCCTGTCTCTACTAAAAACACAAAAATTAGCCAGGCATGGTGGAGCATCCCTGTAGTCCCAGCTACTTGGGAGGCTGAGACAGGAGAATTTCTTGAACCCTGGAGGCAGATGTTGCAGTTAGCTGAGATTGTGTAACTGCACTCCAGCCTGGGTGACAGAAATGAGACTCCATCTCAGAAAAAAAGAAAAAAAATTATATCTCTCTATTTATAATATACAGATATCAAATATATATTTAACTAGAGGCTTTCTCTGTATCAGAGAGAGCTCCTATAAGATCCTTTAAGATGTTCCATTCATTTTTTTTCTTCTGTAAAACAAAGTCAGTGCCTTCCTAAATCAATTGCAAAAGGATGTCCTTTCAGTTCCTCACTTTGGCCATGGACATTTCTATGTGAAAATTCACATAGTGCACCTTGCAGTGACTGGAAACAAGCCATGCACAGAAACGTGGCCCGGTGCAGATGGGGTGAATTGGAAAGATGAAAGAAGAAAAGAATGGCAGGTCAAGAAGGCAATATTGATTGAATGAGTGAATTGCTGCAGTCAGTCAGGAGGTGACTCTGACTAAGAGAGAATGGGGTGGTGATCACACACCATTTTGAGGGTATTAAATGCTGCTGGGTGGTTCGTTTTCTTTTAATGAATTTTGGTTATGCAAATTTCAATTCAACAATTAGTTGTTTTAAAAAGAGAAATCAAAGATCAAGAAACAACTGTAACCCATAACTTGCTAAGATTACTGTTCTGCTTTATGAATATTTGTGTGAAATGTGCCTGGCAGGTAAATGCCTGCCCTTGTCCTGACCCAGCTTAGCTCTTGGTTCTCCCAGCTGAACTGCTGCACTTCAGAGGTTCACACCCCTGCCCACCTGCCTGTCCCCACAGCGTCTGCTCACCTGAGCTCCTCAGCTTGCTTGAGCTTCTCTGCCAGCTTCTCCTCTATGAACTGCACTTCATCCCTCAGCACAGAGTCTATGATGTCTTTGTCCTCTTCACACTCTGAGAAGAGACAGTCACGCCTGCCTGAGTGGAAGGCTGGACATGCTGGCGTGGTCACTGCCTGCAGAGCAGGTGGCAGTGTCCACCCCAAGGACAAAAGCATCCCCAGTACCAGACTGTAGTGAGGGATTTCCTCATTTTTAATTATGAAGTTAATAAAGTTGGGATTTCCTCCCAACTTTCTGGCATCTGATACTCTCCAACTTAGAGATGGAGAAAAAGAAACTCAATGGTACATCAAGTCACTTGACAGGATGATTCACCTGGAATGAGGCAGAGTCAGAATTTATAGTCCCTGAGGTCTGACTCTGAGTCCTGGGACACTTTCCCAAGACTTGCAGCCTCTCCTGTCAAACGCTCTACTAGGGCATGAAGTAGTGATATCCTGTATAGTAGGAAAGGCCGTTAGGACTATGGGACTCATGGATTCCCTGGTACTGGGAATTTCAAGCACAAATATGTCAAAGATTTAAAAAATCATATCTGAATATAATTATATAAAATATGAGGCATAAGACCCTGAGATCATCATAGAAATATGACCAAATACTAATAAAGTTTGAATTAAGTTAGAAAGAGTAGAATGAAGAACTAATAGATAGTGTTTACTCTGTGCTAAGAATTATTCTAGGAGAATTAGAAGAAACAGGTCATGTAATTCTTGCAACAATTTACAGAGGTAGGTATTATTATAGTACCCAATGAACAGATGAGGAAACTGAGGCACAGAGAAGACAGGCAACTTGGATGGAGCTCAGGAGACTGGCCCAGGCTCCCTGCTCTGCACACTGCACTGCTACCTCCACAATGTCTTATGTGCTGTCTTTCTTCCACTTTAGAATACAAGCCTGTGCCCCAGGAAGCAGGACCTCCCTCTCAGCAGGGTACTCCCTGCTTTTCATGCTGTCACTTATGGATGACACCGTTACTATTAGGAGCAGCCTCCTCTTTGAGCTCCTTAGAGCAGGTACTCTGTACTGTCGCCATGTTTCCGCCTGGGTTCCCTGAAGAGAGATTTGCCTACAGGGCCTCGAAGAAGCTTAAACTGAATGGCAGTTCATTAGTTGCAGACATTTAGACCAACAGACTAGATGTTATTTGTCTGCAGGATCTTCTAGGGTACAGAGACCATTCTCGTAAACATGATCGAGCATCTTGTTGAGAAAAACAAGTGGGTCTGTGCCTGTGTCAGAGGTCAGTAGGCAGGATTTTAACTCTAGTCCCACCTCACATCGGACTGCTAACGTGGAAAAGCTGCTAAACACGTTGTGCCTCTGTTTTCCACCCTTAACACAATCAAGTTAAAATACCCATTTCTGTTTTCCTAGAACTAAGGAAAGGATGAAATTAATTTTGATGAAGAGAACATTCGGTGTCGCAGAGAGAAGACAGCAGCTGATTCATCACTTTCGTGATGATGAATCTATAGAACTTACTGTATTTCTTAAGTTGTTTAGCCAGAGAGTAGGCAGTAGCTTGACTTATAAGAAATTTCTCTTTGAGGTCTTTGAACTGCTGTTGGCTCTCTGCCAGCTGGGAGCGCAATTCCTGGTTGATTTCTAGAATTTTCATCTCTGCCCTGTCCTGGGACAAATGTACGGCAGTTACCACCATGCTGACATTTGTGGCAGAAGAGTTCAAACAGGGACTGGGGAGAAGAAGTCCAAGCACATGATGGGTCAAAAACTAATGAATCAACCAAGTTTATTCAGGACTGAGGGATGACAACAGCTGGAATTGTTGACTTACGGTTGAGAAGAACTTGATCCACACAACACAGTCGTTGAGAGTCCTTAACTGAAAAAAAAAGCGCTTAGGATGCCTGAGCTCAGAGCCGAAGGCCCTGCCTGTAGCTCTGCCTCTGACGAGAGTGAGGTGGGTAGCAGCCAGCGTGCCAGGTAACCGTCTGCAGTTGCAATAACAGAATTAGAAGGTGGGGGTGTCATGGAATCTTAGGAGCCCTGCGTTCCAACTGCCCAGGCTGTGTTGAAACCCAAAGTCCCCTGGTCTCACCCGACAGTCACTGATGGGGACCATTTCTTCACCAGTCACTCTCAGTGTCTGTGCACCCTTGTGACAAAGCCATAGACGCACCTCCTTCTCAATACATCTAAGCATATTCCTCGTTGTTCATCTCGTGTGTGTATAAAATCATCAAGGTAGAGATAGTTTCCCAAATCGTTACATTTTCTTAGTGCTAGTCAGGGAGTCATCCCACCTTCTCTAAGTTAAAACAGATCCTAAGGCTTTTCCACAAATGAAAGATTTCAAACTTTTAAACTGCCATGGTATCTTCTGGGCTCTGCATTTTTTTTTTCTGTACCTACTGAAAAGTTCATCAATAATTTATTTTTAAAAATACTTTTCCCCGGCTCAGTATTCTCCTGGCTGCATCCCATTATTATGTTGATTTCTTTTCTCTGACTAAGGCAGCATCTTGGCTTTTCATTACACTTAAGAGCAGTTCACATCCCTATGTGCAAATCTCTACCTCTATCTGCAGGCTGATTTGTTTCCTTAATGTCACTGAACACTTGTTTGATACTTGTCACTTACCAATATTATTCTGGTCCCACAAGAGCTCTTTTCAAGGTATCAAATGATCAAAATCGTTTGTGTGTAGCCCCTGAAAACATGTGTGAACATATATTTTGGGAAGTCTTGTAAACCTGATGCTATTTTGTTGTGTTCATTTAGTTTTCCCATGTATTGAAAGGAAAAGGAGCTGGGCCATGAACACTTCTTATGGAATATTGTTGGACATGTCCATATATACATACGGTCTAACACCATTGATGTGTTGTTGCCTTCCACTGACAACCTGGCAAGATCATGGTCATGGTCGGGGTGGTTGATGATCCTCAGTGTTCCTGTGCAGTAGAAGCTGAGTTTGGGATGAGAGGGATGAGTAGGAACCACCTCCTCACTTTCTCAGCTTTTTTCCTCACCTAGATTTTGTGAGGCTAGAACTTGGGAGATTGTCCCGTAGCCCAGGTCTCCTAAGTTTGGCTGCTGGACTTGCGTAAGTTGAAGGTGTGATGAGTGTTACACAGGCTACACAGCATTCAGGTAGAAGGGAAGGAAGGAGGGCTGGGTCAATCCCATTTGAAAACCTGCCTCTCAGAACCCTCACCATCCTCCAGCTACGCTGTGTAATGACAGTGCTTTGAGATGTATCAGAGGCCGTAAATACATCTATTTTCTGGTGTTTGGGAGACCTGACATTCTGTGCCAGAATGAAAAACTCTCAAGTTTCTTCATTTTACAAATGATGAAACTGCAAGTTCACAAAATTACAGGGTTTACTTGAACTTGAAGTCACCCAGCGATGAGTTTTGAGCACTGCTAATAAAAGCAATCAATAATTATTCAGAAATTGTTCATAAAATCCATATAATTCAGTAGATTCACGTAATTATTCCATAATTATTAACTTCCAATTTGTACTATGCATTTTGTTTAAAAGTGTACACATAGTTGGATATTATATTTTCGTCATAATCCTTAAGGTCGTATTATCATCTGTAAGAAACAGGTAAAAAACCTGAAAAAGAGGGATAGCAAATCATGTATTTGACCATAGTTCCATGCTTTTGTTTCTGTGGTTTCATTAGAATGACCAGAATGAGTCATGAGAAGAATATTCATTCTTGTATCATTTTCCAGGACCTAGGTGTGCCCTCCTAGAGTATTGGGCCCAAAATTCACAAGTGTCTGCACCTTGCATTAACAGTCAGGAAATGGTCTCTATCACCTGGAATTTCACTGGAACTTTGGAATATACAAAAGAAGTATGAGACTTGGGTCTGCCCTTGACTCTATTAATTCACTCTTCTATTGAATAGCAATGATTCTCATTAAGACTTTGGCCTTTTTATAACCACGATATATATTTTATGGAGAAGATTTTACTCTTGGTTCTATTTAGAAAGAATACATTTCAGCTATTGTTTAAGTTTTATGTCCTGGACTTAATATTTTTTCTAATTTCTGTTTTGAGATTAAATTCTTATGTAAATAGGAAAATACTTGTTATTACTTATAAGAGCAAATTAGATGTTGGTTTCAGTTTCTGAAGTAGAAGCACAAACTTTTGTTTTTAATCTTTGATTATCCCCATCAGCACTGCTCATTGTCTCTCAGTGTGACCTGGCCATGCTCCTCCACTTACCCTCGTCCTGCTGAACCATCTCCACACGCTGTCCAATTCACGCTCCTCCCAAATCTCCCTGAAATGGGTCCAGGTCTCAGGATGTCAGACACATTCCAGATACAAAAGCAACTCATACCGCAGAGCGGAGAGCTGGGTTCCCACTTTTCTGAGGTTGGCTGTCATGTCCTGGGACAGGAAGGGATGCTTTCCCTTTTTAGGGTGTCTTTTCTTCATGTCTCAGTGCCTCTGATCTAGTGAACACAAATGTCCTGAACGTGAAAGAACTTGCTAAATGTCTGGTTTCTTGTTATGTGGCTTGAATAGATTTATCAGACTTTTTTACCTACTCATGTCTGCTGAAGTTTGAATCTTAGTTTGAAGTGTGATTTTTTTTTTTCTTGTAAAGTGAGCAGTTTGCAGAAGATTGGCCCTGTTGCTGTGCCAAAAGAGGTAAACTTAATATCAACTCAAAGCAAGCTTGAATTCGAAACTAGGGCTTCCACTCTTTCAATACTGGACTCTCATTGCCTGAGGCATGTGTCCTGAAGGACTCCTGTCTCTGCTGTACTGAGGCTAAGGTTAAGAAGAGCCCAGCAAGCAGGGTCTCCTTCACTTCTAGCTTCCCCCAAAAGTTTCTCCTGAGTTTTAGAGACTGTATTGAAAATATTCTTGCTCTGCTTTTGTGTTTTGGCTTTGGAATGATGTGATGCAGCTCAGTGGTTCCTAACACCAAGTTGATCAGGGTAAGAAACACCTGGGAAGGTTAGTGATAATACAAGTTTATTGTCCTCCTTGCAGGGATTCTGATTCAGTGGGTAATTTATAAAGAATATAATTTTAATTGGCTCAAAGTTATCCAGGCCATATAGGAAGCATATTCCTGGCATCTACTTCTGGTGAGGGCCTCAGGAAGCTTCCAATCATGGCAGAAGGCAAAAGGAGAGCTGGTGCATCACATGGTGAGTACAGGAAAAAAAAGAGAGCGGAGGTTCCAGACATCTTCAAACAACCAGATCTGACATGGACTAACTGAGCAAAAACTCACTCATTACCAAGGGTATGGTGCTAAGCCATTTATGAAATATCTGCACCCAAAATTCAATATCTCCCACTAGACACCACCTTCAACATTGAGGATCACATTTCAACATGAGATTTGGAGGGCACAAACATCCAAACTATATCATTTCACTCCTGATCCCCTAAATCTCATGTCTTTCTCACTTTGCAAAATAGAATCATCCCTTTCCAATAGTCCCCAAAATCTTAACTCATCAAATCCAAAGTCTCATCTGAGACTCAAGGCACATTGCCTCTACCTATGAACATGTAAAATCAAAACGAGTTGTTTACACCCATGATATAATGGTGGTACATGCATTGGGTAGACATTTCCATTCCAAAAGTGAGAAATTGGCTAAAAGAAGGGGTAACAGGCTCCATATAAGTCTGAAACACAGCAGAGAAGACATTAAGTCTTAAAGCTCCAAAATAATCTCCTTTGGCTTCATGTCCCACATCCTGGGCACACTGGTGTTTTGGGCCAACCTTGCTCTTTCTAGTGGCACCAATACCAAGGCCTTAGGAAGCTCTGCCACTGTGGCTTTTCTATGCTGAGGTTGCAGACTGCTGGTGGCTCTATCATTCTTGTGTCTGGAGGGCAACAGCCCCCTTCCTATAGCTCCACTTGGCAGTGCTCTGGTGGGGACTCTTGCTGGGGGGCATCCAATCCCACATTTCCCCTCTGTACTGCCCTATTAGGGACTCTAAGTGAGGGCTCCACTCCTGTTGCAGGCTTCTTCCTGGGCATTTAGGCTTTCTGATACATCTCTGAAATCTAAGGGGAAGCTGACAAGTCTCCTTCACTTTTGTGCTCTGCATACCTGCAGACTTAACACTGAATGGAAGCTGCCAAGATTTATGGCTTGTGCCCTCCAGAGTGATGGCCTAAGCTGTAACTTATCCCCTTTGAGCCAAGGCTGGAACCAGAGTAGCCAGGATGTGGGGAACCGTGTTTTGAGGCTGAGAAGGGCAGTAGAACCCTGGGCCTGGCCCCTGAATTCGTTCTTTCCTCCTAGTGATGTAGAATTTTGCTCTGTAGCTTAGTTAGGTCTGAGTTCTTGTCTCATGACCAGAAAGAATTAGATACATGAACACTGGAAGTGAGTCAGGTGGGAAGTTTTATTGAATGATAAAACAGCTTTTTGTGGGGAGGGCATACAGGGGTGGTCCTCCTACCCAAAGGCAGGAGAGTTCCCAATGTGGATGAGCCTAGGGCTTTTTCTGGGCTCAGAATAGGGAGTACATAACAATTGGTTTATGAGTATGCAAAAAAGGTTAAAGCGAAGACAGCACTCAAAGGTGGACGCGATAGTGTAGAAAACCAATTAGGAAAGGGTAGCTAGATGTAAAATAAGTAAAGGATGGGATCAACCAGAGGAAAACACACCAAATGGGAAGGTGGGTTCTCAGTCTGGTCCTAGGATTTACCAGGGACAGTTTCTGACTTGAAGGTGGGGTTTCACCAG